TAATGCAGGATCGTGCATGTAAATCTGAGAGTTTTCAGCAAAAATGCGATTTTTGCATACTGAGTTTTCTGCTTCGTGATGAAGTTCCATTTTTTATTTTATTTTTTTCTCGTAGTTTTGTGTCGTAAACGATCACGTGTTGAATAACTGCAAACTTTTTTTGGATATTCGTGATTTATAAATGAGAACGTTTTCTTGCAGATGACTGATTATTGCTGGAATCAAAGTAATCACACCAACCGATTCTAATCTCTAGCTTATTTCTTTCACTCTCAGAAATTTTTTTCCGTCAAAATAACCGAACAGCCAGAAAATCACGAATGAATGAGATGTTTCCGTTGAGCGGACGATTATGTGGACGTCTAGCAGAGATTGTTCCTGAACGATTGTATTTTTGTGCATTCTACGATCCACCAAAATCAGACACCAGCACGGAATACTTCTATATCGATGAGGATGAAGTGCATTACGATTCCTTTTATACGGATTTTGGACCGTTAAATTTGTCTGTTTTGTATAGATTTTGTACGAAACTCAATCAAAAACTGAAGGTAATGGTTCCAAATTATGCGAGAGCATGTAAACTGTAGAATGAAAGCAATTTTAGTGATATATTCAAGCGTATTGCACTTAAATCCATCTATTTATTAAAATTGTATCATATACAATCTGCGTTATCAGCAGTTGCATATTCCATCAAATGTTGTAGTTACCAAAATCTTCATATACTAATCAGAACTGAAACAGTTTTGATTTGGGTAATGTAAAAAATAAAATATAGTTGGTGATTCGGATTACTTTAATAAAAAATTTTCTAGCAACTCGCTGGAACGAAAAGAGTTGTGGTCTGTTCAGGATGTATGGACGAAGATCGTGTCAACACGGCATATCTTGTTGGAGCATTTTGTGTCAGTTATCAAAGCATCTCTTTTTTGTCCTCGTTCTGGAATTTCCTATGATTTAACTGTATCAAATAAATAACTAAGGGTTTTGATCGCTGTTGTGCTTGCAGATTATCTACTTGGGATTAACGGCAGAAATTGCTTACCTGAGGTTGCATAAAGCTGATCCTGGAGGATTTATTGGATTTCGAGATGCATCAATGGGTTCACCAACCTATCGACTTCATTTGCATAANGCAACTCATTACGAGTTTATGCCTCTCTGTTATCACCAGTATCACTAATATCACATCCTTTCTTCCTTGGCATTCTTCTTTCCGCGCAGCTAGCGATAATAGCGTTGGGAATCATCTGTCTTCATAAAATTCTAAATTCGGTTATTGATTTGGCGAGCACAGAGGTTTTGGGCTACTCTATCTTATTGCCCAGTGATTCCTGAGGAGAGGAAGGCATGTTGTTGTGTGATATTATTGTTGGGTTTAGTGGTGGTGAGGTAATGTTTGCAGTTATGATAATAATGAGAATGAATTTTTAGGCAGTGAAATTCAAATGGTTAACATTTGAAAATTTCGATGCGGACGAATACGAGTTCTATGAACGTGTTGAAAATGGTGACTTCAACTGGATTATACCCAATAAGATTCTCAGCTTTTGTGGTCCACACAATAAATCAGTTGTCGAAAATGGTATCGTTTTGGATGTTTCGATAAAATTTTAGTTTTTTTCAAAATTGTCTTCATTCGATCAAGGATTGCTGCCATCGACGAATCCGTGAAGAGGTGCGAGGAATGTATCTATTTTAGGCTATCCATATCACGCGCCCGAAGTATATTTTGAGTATTTCCGACTGCACAACATAAGCACAATAATACGTTTGAATAAGCGAATGTACGATGCGAAAAGGTTCGGTTGCTCCGCTTTTTGTTGTGTTGTGCATTTTGAATTTGAAGGTTTGATTTATTCGGAAGGAATGTTCATTAGGAACCTTTAAATTTGATTGCTTGTTGTGAAGTAAATTAAGTTATCGATTGTGAATGAATCAATTTTGAGTATTTCCGACTATCAGTTCAATCAAATTTTGAGTATTTGAGAATGAATCAAATTGCGCACAGTGGCTGATTAACCCCTAAATCCCTACTGAGTATTTGTGTTTCCAGTAAGGAAGATAGGGGTCTGTCTCTCTTGCTTTTGACGATTTCGTCGTAACCAGTCGCATTATATAATGAGAACCGAGTTTTATAGGATGTCTCTTAATTACATGAGCACTTTATGTGATTTTATTGAAATTCTATGAAACAGGTTTGAGTTGTTGATGTTTTGTTATAAAACACATAATTAAGTGTACCAATGATTAAGTGTGCCTAATGTTGTGTTGTTAGCAATTATTAATGTGGTTCAATTAGATTTCTCGATGCTGGATTCGATCACGTTGATTTGTTTTTTGTTGACGGTTCAACGCCGTCAGACTCGATCGTTGAACGATTCATCAATGTGGTGGATTCAGCGAAAGGCGCTGTTGCTGTGCACTGTAAGGTGAGTTGGTGATTGGTGATTCGATTTCATGAGTGATAGATATTTCATATTTGAAGAGCATATTCTGGTCTAATTGCGATCGTTATGTCAGCAAATATGTACAATTAATATTGTCTTCATTGGTGTTGTAATTAATTTTTATTGCTACTTTTATGATTCATTTGCATATTTATATGACGATAAAGAAGTGATAATGATAAAGGAAACAGTGATAAATAGATGAATACCTGACTGGAATAAGAGGCTGAAATAACAANGTAATCAGTTCTTATTACTACTTTTATGATTTATTTGCATATGTATATAACGATAAGGAAGTGATAATGATAAAGGAAACAGTGATAAATAGATGAATACCTGAC